CACACACACACACACACACACACACACACACACACACACACACACACCCGCGCACGAAGAGCTTCTCTGCATCACCCTTCCTGCTGGCAGGATGGGTTGTATTGTACTATTACATGGAAAAACAGAGGCAGTGACTCATTGTGCCCACTTGAAATCTCACCAATTACAGCTTCATATGCATCATACACATACATGTGTAGAATGCTGCTGAGATTTGAGTATTATCATCACACTGCACATTTCAGCCCGTTTCTGACCCGATTGTTGAACCGCGCGACTTATTCCAGAGTCAACAATAAACAACAAACCTGCTGGAAGGGGTTCGTTCGTTCCAAACTGCAACTAAGGTAGTGCTGCAGGATGTCTGTGGATAACAAGGACAGCAGGAACAGAAGATGTCAGCAAAGTCGCATAAGTACACGTGTAGAAAAGAATGATCTTCATCCATCAACAGTCTGACCAGATAAATCGGATATATCAGATATATATTAGTATCTATGGATATGTTGGCCGATAAGCAACAAGAAATAAAAGAATCCAAGCCTAACAAGGTCTAAGGTCATTTATAAACAGTGTCGCCATCATCACCATATATATGTATATCGCTATGGGATGTATTTAAATGCCAGAATATCAATATTGTCCCCAAATATACAGTGTTGGTCGAGCAGTGATACGTTTGGGCTTTGGACTGTTAGTTGGTTGTGATAGTTGGTGTTAGTTGTGACATAGTCCATCATTTTATTGACCAAACAAATAATCGCTTACGGGAGAAATAAACTGGCAGATGAATCGATAATGAAAACAATCTTTAGCTGCAGCCTCACACCATTTGACTAACAAGAAGAACTGACATGGAGGCGTGTCAGATATTTGAAGACTGTTTTAGGACTAGAATGAGCACGGTGCACGAATGGCGTTAACTACTGTATTTTATTGAATCAGAGCTGCTCATCCCTATCTCACTAATGGAAACCTAGTTGATTTCTGCGTCTGGTATTTCCCGATGCATTGTGCCTCCTCTTCCCCGAGTCACTGCTTCCTCCACCCCCTTGTTGCTCGGTGAAAGAGGCCGACAGTCCGGTCACGTCGTATTTTGTTCTCCAGCTCTGCCTCGTCGTGTTCCCCGCTCGCCTCGTTAGAGCTCGACTGCTTCTGTAACTCCCGCTGAGCTAATCCTGAGCTCTGCAGCGAAATGTTCCAAAAGAACAAAGTTCACACGTGCTGTAACAGTATACACGAGAGTGTATTTCCCATGATGCAGCAGCAACAAGAACACAAAAGGTAAAACCCTTCTTACTGCACACAGGCTCCAGCTACACATCCCTCCAGAGCGGTTTAATCCTCTCTGGGCTTATTGTTAAAACTGCAACATGACCAAACCTGTATTCTGTTCACAGAACAACAGGAAGCAAAACAAGCTATAATTGAGGTTTTGGACTTTTCACATGCTGTTACAGCCCACTCGGGCTGCTAACCCACAGCAGTGAGTAGGATCGGATGAGGAATCCTCGCCGAGTGACTCAAAGGCAACAGCAAAGCGTCCACAAATACAAGCTGCGAGAACACCACCGCCGCCGACCCGGCTCATGGCGAGAGTGACGTCGGCTCTCGCTTGCGGTGTCAGGAGCTGCTTTCCCACGCAGCCGAGCGGACTTCCGGTACAGAGAAGTACAAATCAGGCCACGCATGCACCCACTCTGCTTTTCTGGCCTGATTAACCAAAACGCTCGGTTCGTGCATTAAAGCAATCGGCATATTCTAGAGAGGAGAGCAGGAAAAACAGACATTGTGAAGCAGGAAGTCTTTGGAGGGAGGGCTGTAGGAAACATATCGTGTCTTTGATCCTCCTCTCCGCTGCTCTTATCTCCCTCATACACAACCGAGGCGCTCATCATTTCTGCCACCATCACGGGACAGATTGGGTAATTACTAAGCGGAGATGTGTTAGAGGCTTCTGTACTGCATATAAAAGGCAGCGCATTGCCCTCCTGACCCCGCCGCAGATGTGGCAGTCATTTCTGGAGACTTTTTATGGGCCGTGGACAACACGGAGCCCTGGCTCTTCAGAACAATGCCGCCTCACTGCTGCACCATAATCAGAGCATTGAGAGCAGGAAGGGGGAGGGGACTAACTCCGGCTAAAGTGTCCTCTTCAGTGTGAGACGGCTAATATTCACCACGTCAAAGAGATCTCATTACACCGCCCCAGCAGCCTATGAGTGTTATTCATACCTTGATTGATGACGCCATACTGGGCTGCCACTTTGGTCACGTACGTGTCAGGAGACGCACAGAAGTCACTGGAGGTCTAGAAAAACAAACAGGACAACACTGTCATGTTGGATGGAACGAGTGAGGGATTGATTGCAGCTTTAAATCTGCAACGACGTGACAGGCCGAGTCCTTCCCAGCTGAGGTCCAAGCATCAATAAAGTTGTTTTTGTCCTCCATACAGCAGCCAAATGAGCTGCTTTGGTCTTCTGTGAACAGCGGCTGCAATAGTACGCCGACAATGCTAATCACAATCATTTGGCTTGACGAGAAAAATGTAAAACCTTGTAATCGTGATGGAACCAAATACGACAACTCTGTAGTTGTTCAACGTAAATCCCTCCTTGCTTTGTTAGTTCACTTGGATGTTTGAGCTTCACTGTGCAGATTATACAACTTACACAAGTGTGATGAGGAAACATGAAACCTCCAGCGCTCATAACATGAGAACGGGCTTTTCAGAGAAGTAAGAGACAAATATTTGAAATGAACGATATTTACATATTCATAGATTTGGGGTTTTTCAATGAGGGAAAAGGAGAAGAACTTTGATGTGTGGAAAAAAACATCCGATGATGTTTACGTGTTGAACATGTCTGGAGGGGAGGTTACTGCATTACATCATACAGGTGTTTCTATTCGCCACATTTCATCAACCTCTCTCCACCTCTCCAGATTAAGCGAAATAAAACGTCCCTCTAAGGCCACATCATTCTGCAGTCCTCGGCTGAGCACACACAAAAAATCGTGTTACCCAATTATACGTAATGAACTGTGCAGCTCTGCCCCGAAAAACAGGATCACGCTCCGGTGGAGACACTTACCGCTGAGACGGCCAGCTCCAGCCCCAGGGAGACCCAGCTGATCACCAGAGCGACTACGCCAAACAAGCACACCCTGGGGGGAGAGGGGGGGGGTTTCAGTACCTTTAACCTGCAGTGTCACAGCACTACTGATCATCTGTACAGCGGAGCAGGGGACATGTTTAAACGAACTACGGTGGTCCTTTAGTACGTGCCAAGACCGCTCATGCGTCACATTGGACCAGCTTTCTTTAGTCAGTAAACACGAATCTCATGTCAACAAACAAACACTGTGTTGACATCGTGAACGTTTAAATATGGCTTAAAAAAGATGATGTGCAAAGTGTGAAATGGGGGAAAACAAACTACTTGTTGAATTACCTTAGAAGATTATAAAATCTTAAATTAAGCATTTTTATGACTATTTAACGTACTGTGTGCAATGTATTTGATTACCTATTTGCTTAAATTTGCCCTGATCTACCCTTAAGAGGGAAAGGCTGAGTGGTCCAAGTGGTCTCACTTTCTTTTGCAGAGTTTACAGCATTTACAGCATTATTTTTAGTGCCTATAAAATGCAAATAGCCTTCTTTATAGCTGCTCTATTGAATATACAACAGATTTAAGGGCAAAGCTGCAGATTTAAGTGAGTCATTAAGGGTCATTAGATCCCCCAAATACTGAGGATCTCAGGGCCATGATGCTGGATGAATGGTGACTGGGCTGACATCTTTATGAGGCATAAATTCATCCCGACTAAACGATAATGACAAGGTGGCCTTGATGGCTTCATGTACATTTATTACCACTTATTCTGTGAACAGCTAAAATAATCTCGCGGGGCAGAATGATGTGAAGCGATGAGACTCACCCTATGAGCGTTGCCTTGGAGTTGCGTATGAGGCCAAACAGCACCAGGAGGCAGATGAGGACGTCGAACAGTAGCAGGCCTATGTAGCCCAGCCACCTGTGAGGACACACGTCGTTAACAACAGATGGCCACGAGCAGCACAGCACACCATCTCCTAAAATATATATAGAGCTCAATCTTTAGAGCAAGCACAATAATCTCTCTGCTCATAAAAGAAAATTCTTAAATAATAAACAATTAACGAGACAAATGTGCTCACAAACAGGAGTCATTAGTCGCATCTGCTTCCTAATTCGTCTCTTAAAGAGAAGAAGCACATGAATCTTGGTCTGTTGTTGTCTGCGTGGCTCACTGCTGCCCCGCCTTGCTCTGCAGCATCAGACAGGAGCTGAGTATGTAATGTGTTGCATTATGGGGCTCTTTTGTTTGAACGACTGCTCTACCACGGCCTTACCTGTACCAGTCGTACAGCTCGATGGTGACGGCCAGCTCCTCCAGGGAGATGTCGGCTCTTTCCCAGAAGGGGATCTCCACCATCTGCCCGACCAGCTCGTCCAGCTGGCCCTGCAGCTTCTGGATGATGGACAGGTAGTCGGCGTGCTCCGCATACTGGCCCTCGAGCTGCTGCAGATTGTTTTCTACCGTCTGGTTCAGTGAGGATGTGCTGTCGTATACCTAGAGCCAGCACGGGGATGAACAAGGACACGGTGGAGTTGAAAGAAGAAGGGTGATTCACTACACAGCTCTGCTGGTCGGGGGGGGGGGCTCATGGCAGACGGGCGATGAATTATTAAACACGGTGGAATTTGCGCCTTCGGGTCTTACCAGCGTCTCCACTCCAGTGATTGTGCGGTTAGCGTGGCGCAGGGAATACGTCAGCCGGTTCACTCCATCGCAGGTCTCGCCGTTCCCATAGAAACCGACAGCAATGCCAGCGCTGAGGGCAGACAAAAGGGAAGGGGGGGCGGGGGGGTTGGGATCAGCCAAAAGAGACTCAGAGAGGAGGCAGAGGAGAGAGGCCAGTCAACAGGCTCCTTTCAGCTGCAGCAGAAAGAGCCCATACAGAACCATGGAAACACTCAGGAATGGACCAGCTATCCCCCCCAAACCCCCCCCCCCCCCACACCACGGCTGACAAAGGCCGTACTGAGGCGGGAGATCGGCTCCGGTTCGAGCAGACAGACGGGCCTCAGGTGGACAGAAAAACAGTTCCGGCGACTGCATGGGAAACAGTTCGTACAGGTGCATCAACCAAAATAAATTAAATATTCTGAGAATTCATCCGTGTGCACTTTGTGATCCTCTGACCTGATGTACACGAGAGAAGAGACGCTTCTCACAGTGATATTGCTTAAAATAAACTCCCTTTCTGATCCCCGAGAAGCAATTTGAAGCAAGAGCCGATATCTCGTCCTGTGTGCCCCCTCCCCCCTATAACAGAGTAGTGGATTTTATCAAGAGGCATGATGGTGATGGTGATGATAAACGAATCACTCCAAGCTGAAGTCGGACCAAGTGGAAGCCAACAGCACTCAGTGAATCAATGGGTTTCCCTGCTTCCTGAAGGGCTGCTAATCTCTTCCTCTCACACTCTGCAGTGTGGAAAAGGTGAACAGGAGCGGTTGTCACAGCAAACCCCCTGTTGAGAATGTTGTTTGTGTCGGTTTCAGTGCTTTGTGCAATGACGCAAAGCACTGACTCCCTCAAAGAACAAACGCAAAACAAAGAAATGAAGGATCTCTTCCTGTTTTCACTCAAACACACTTAAACAGATGCAGTGATTGTGATGCAGTTCTTGTACTCGTCGGCTCCCCGAAGCTCTTTGTGCTGCTCTGAATCAGCCGGGATGGCTCTCCAGTCGCCCATCAACCGGAGGAGCAAAACAGGAAACTAGTGCAGAGTTCAGTGATAGGAAGCATGTGCAGATGGAACAGTTCTAGCACTATCTACTTCAAAACTAAATATTACAAAACATAAAAAACGTTTATAGTAATGCTGTCATCATTTGTGCTTTAAGTGTGCACACAGACAAATGTAATTTCCCACAGGACTACTGTACAGTCCCCACTGTGACTTCTACAACCCCAAATTAATATGTATTCAGCAGTTTTCATTAAAAATTCCAATTAAATTTGTACTTGTTTATCAATGCAATTGTGTGGCTGTCAGTCTGAGTGTACGTCTGGCCTTAGATGCTCAGTTTGGGGGAAATTAAGTCCTTCATCTATTTCATAGAACTGTGATTTCATTTGACCATGGCATCCTTCTGTGTGTTGAATTAGAAAGAATATTTTTCTTTTATTGAGCGACTGAAGAACGTTTCAACCCTCTGCTGTTAGATGGTTTGGTGTCTGAATGACACAGAGGAGCAGGCTGTTTCAGGATGTATCTGTAGCTTTCCATGGTGTTTACTGCCGACCACATCATCCACATGCGATTTACATATTCAGCTGTGATTGGTCCGTTGTTGACTGGTGCCCTGCCTCTTCCTGCATCTCTGTCTCTAGGTGTGTGAATGCAAAGCAGCGAGCAGCAACGGTACAACTAGTGAACGCATCTTAAAGATGATTCGCTCCAGAGATATAGATATGTTTTCAGGATAAAAGGAATCGCCTTCCTGTGGTTAAATATGTTCGGGGATCTGAAGAACAAGGCCTGAATCCTCACCTGCAGACGAGCGTTGCGATGATGACGCACCACGCCGTGCAGCAGCAGTCGGCGTTGGGCCGATCCTCGTTTTTGCTCCGCCGGCAGCACAGACAAATGGAGTAGAAGAGCAGGAACAGGAGGTCCAGGGCCAGACAGGCCAGCGCCACACCTCCCAGTAACAGGATGGACTGGTGGACAGAGGGATGGGGTTATGGACACTTCACAGCTGATACCACTTTCACATCAATAACAGAGGGGATAATGGGCCTCCAGTGTCCTACAGAGAAGAAGAGCACAGAGCTCCAAATGCATTGCCTTCTTGTCTGCAGAATATATTACACTTTTAGCTTTAATAAATATATTAGATGTCCTAAATTAAACTGAGGGCAGGTGTAGTGGAGTGGAGTATGCTCTCTAATCAGGGGAAAACATCTCTAAAGTAAGACGTCTCATCTTTCTCTGTGATTTGAAAAGAAACCGGTGCTCGATGACGTACAGAACAGTCCGTTCATTTAGGCACAATAACGCGGTCATAACCGCGGGGAAGGAAACAACAAAAACAATCTATGAAGTGATATAGTATTGAAGAGAATTTAAGAGATAAACGTAGGTCAGACAGGGGGCCTCTGCGTTCACTGAACACTCCTGAGGACTGACGGCCGGGCGGACCTCCACCCCGACACTCTGGTTTGTAAGAAGCCGGGTTTGATGTTTGATCTGCTCGTTCAGTTTTCTCAGTGACGCATCACAGCGACCGACACGCCCCGAGGCAGCGGCCGTGGACCCGTTTCATGGCAGCGGATGAGCTCGATCTTGGAACAATTGCGGGCTCAAAGCACCGTCTTGACAACATAATATGTGGAGAGACTCGGCGTAGTGTCGACTGTGATACTGTGAATAAATGACAGACTGGATGATCACATACACAAATACCATTGAACATGTTGCTCTGCACAGTTCAACCAAACAAAGCTCACCGAGTGCCACAGCGATCCAGGAGTACGGCCAAACATAGATATTATACTGACATCATGATACGAGACTACGTATTGTCTTAGGTTTTGGATATTGTAATATGGCATTAGTGTATTCTTTCCCTGGTTATAAAGGCTGCCGTACAGCACAGTGATGTTATTTCTGACTGTTTTAGCTGCTCTATTATTTGACTTTACCTGCTTAGTCATCATATCCTCATTACTGATGATTATATATCACAAATCACATTGTTTAAATATATAGTGAAAGCATCTATAGCTAACCCTACTACATCGGCGCAATATCCACATCGAGGATTTTGGACTAAAATATTGTGACACTTGATGTCCTCCATGTTGTCAGACCCTACCCAGGAGTTAAACCAGAAGCGTGCTGCATGTTACTTTTGGTGCATTGCCTCCACATCCTCTGTGCAAAGGCACCCAGGGCTGCTTATTCATGAAGGCGTCCCAACGCGAGCACTACAGCCTGTCATCACCGTGTGATAATAAGTGTGGTTAATGATGACCTCTTATGCTTTGTTCTTGTTGAGATAACGGTGTGAAGGGAGTGACATAATGTGCTCCAACAGCTGTATCACCTGCATGTTATTCAAATATGCCTCATGTTTCCACTGAACATCCTCTTTAAATAGTGATGTTGTTACATTGAACTTCTAGCCGTACACACTGAGTGCCAAACAGCTGCAGCCATTATCCAGCCAATGATTCCTTCCTGCATCCGACCAGGAAAAGGGCTCGGATCAGACTTCAGAGAGCCGAACAAATGTTCACAATGTCGTAAAATTACCTGTTTCAGTAAACGGACTCCAGGGACACTTCAGGTGAACAATACGTTCCTTAAAATACTCGTTTTGTCTGAACTAGATCATTCTTTCTACTAAAGAAACCTCACGGCAAACATCTGACACCTACACAAGTTAGTCAAAGTGAACCGTGGATTTATAGCGTTTGACACTTTAGATTACTTTCATTTTCAAACACGAATGTCTGCACAAGCTTCAACACATTCCCCCCCCCCCCCCCGCTGATGACTGGAACCCGTCTTCCTGTTTCTCAGGAGCGATGATTTTCACTTCTGCTGTTTGTGAATCATACCGCCACTGTAAAATAGACGCACCACTCTCTTATGTCTTCCGACTACGTCTGCCAATTTCTCCCTTGTGTTTAAAACGCCCCTCTGTCCTCAGCAGTCTCTGAAGCTAGAAGGCCACACACTCAACAAGCAGTCTCTCAGAGCCTTTTAAAAACCCACAGCAACACAGAAATGATGTTGGCACATTTAACTCTTTCTCACGCCGGTGATGAATTAAACAACCTCCCATCCGACGAGACGGAAGATTAACAGTTGACTCAACAGTTTCCACAGAATTTCTTAGGAGGATTTCTTTGTTGAACAGAAAGAGTTCATCTGAAGTTAATGCTGTGCCATCTGACACGATTAGAGATTCTGGTTTTCTCATTTTCAAAACAGGATACATGTGCAGAGTAATTTCACTGGATCCTGTGGGTGAAAGCTAGTGGGTGTGAGTTCTGTGAGGCAAAACCTGCACACCAACCGAGGCGTAACAGAAACCAACGACATCTGTATCAATGCCAATATGGTAAACACCTAAAAAACTACAATAAAAGCATCACTTGACCTAAATGTAGAGAGTCTCTTTAGTATTAAACTTGTGAACACATGCCCTGCTGCTCTCCCCTCCCCCAGCCTCAGCTGATCTCCAGCCTCTGCAGTCTACTTATGGACCTCTGCTACCATGGACCTCTTTAATCCACACACCTTGAGGAGTTACGGTTGTCTGCAAAGCTACTCCAGAGTCCACATGCCCCTTATATAGTATAACCAATACAGGTTAGAATTATATATTGATAAAATATAGAGAATTAGGCGGTTTAGGTCAATTAAAGTGGCTCGGATCACACTACACGATGCCAGCTGGTTGATGTCTGTCAAAGGTCAAGACGTGGACAGAACAGCTACACACAGATGGTGACATGGATCACAAGGTGAAGAGGGGGAACAGGTGCAAACAGGTCATCTGTCACTGAGAAACACCGATACATTCTAACTTCAATATAAGGCTGCAGACCTGCAGAAAGTCTTATTGTCCTGTGCCAGAATGTGGAGGATATATTCATCTTAAATACTGAACACTTAAAGTAAACATCTGTAGTAAACATCTGTAGAATGGGTCATTTGATGCAAGACAAAGGGGATCAGTGAGGGTTTATTTTACCTGTTGATACGTCCAGTCCTCCGGTCGGAAATCACTGCTCGTTCGCTCGAACATGAGGTTGAAATGTGGAAGTCTGTGCAGAACGTTCACCCACCATGGTGGAGAGTAGCTCACCACTGCTGCCATGGCGAGCCAACGTCACCGGGATCCACTCAGAGAGGATGCTAGAAGCTGTAAACACACAGAGAGGAGAATCCACTTCACTGAGTCCGTCTGTGTCCGAGATGAAACACGGAACAAGAGCAGCGCTGCTCATCTGGTGCGAGGAACGAAGTTAGTCAGGATCAAAGTGTTATATGGACTGGGACAATCCAAAAAAAAGTCTGATTGTTGATTTTAAGGAATACATACGTTAAAAACTGGCCATATTAGATTATATAAATTAGTAATAACAACCACAACTGCTCGCTAACTTCACAAACACTGACGTAGCGTTATGTGGTAGCTAACTTAGTTAGCTTATGTGGTAGCTAGTTAGCTTGCTAACATTAACTAGTAGCTATAACGCTAGCTTTAACGTTAACCCGAAGCTATTTAGATCGTTAACACGTCAACTTACGTCAATGTTGCATCGCGGACTGTGGTCCTGTTGTAATGTTAGATGTAAAGTCCCGAGTGCACGTGATCCATTTAGTTTTTTTGTTTAAAAAAACAAGGAGTTTGTTTTTTTTAGAGCTAGTTATACCCGTAATGTAGCTTAGCGTTAACTCGGCTAATGTTAGCCGGTTTAGCTGCCCCGGTTAGTCCAGTCCGCTGAGAATCGGAGGAGAAACACAAGAAGAAGAAGCCTCTTTTGTTCCACTTGTCATTCTAGTCCGCGGTTGTTTACATCCTGTTTTTGTTTAGTTGGTATTTCATCGGTTCCTCTCTTGCGGTTTTATTCCACTTCCACCGATCAGACAAGACAAAACCTCCATCCAGTTACTGGACGCAGAGAGAGAGACTGGAGCCAAACACAGCGACTGTTCACGACATTCACCCAGCTGGCAGTTCACCCGGCCCGGCCCGCACACAGCCCACCTCACCGGCACAAAACTGACCCAGCAGCGCCCCCCAGAGGCGCCGTAGTGTCGCGCTGATGAGAGATTCAGGTAGCGTCGGAAATATTACAATTACTTATAGACGTGAATTCAACCAAGACTGGCCAATTTCTGAGATTTGACAGCAGCTAAAGCATATATCCCTCATCTCAACCAAAACGATGTGCATAAGAAACCATAACGGGTTTATTTCAAATCCTAAATTGTTATAGCTGTGCCACTTCATACCTGCAAATACTCTGATCGTGGCATTTAATTAATGCATTTTCGACATTAGAAATAAAGGAGCTGAAACATACACGGATCATTTTAAGGCAACGTTAGTTCTTAGGCTGAGTTTCAAGAATGTCAAATATAAAATCAAACTGGTTTTCAAAAGTGAAACCAGGAAACAAACAGGCCTCAATAACACAATATTCCTTCATGAACAGAGCAGCTGATTGAGCTGCTTCGATACAAGCTCATGCACCAGCGCTTCTCCACCTCTTAAAACAACGTAAACATTTAGATTACTGTATGAAACGCCATACTCATGAGCTGCCAGTGCGTCAGTTTAGAGTGTCAGTTTATATTGCTCCAATCCGCACTTGGACTTTAACCAGCGCCCTCTACAACTTTAAGAAATAAATTACTTGTTTTTCCTTTTCTGCAGGAAATCACATGGAGGTGCTCTTGCGCTCACATGACAGTGTGAGCGATGGCAGGAGAGATCAATGAAGGTACAGTGCGAGAACTTCTTACACTCTTCTTAACGCATTGTTGCCAAATCCTTTCCTTAATAACTACGTTGTTGTTGTTGTTGTTGCTATTCGGCGTTGCAGTCGAAACTCTTGTATTCGATGTTTTTAAAAACGTGGATAAACCTGCTCGCTGAAGGCGCGGTGGGAGCGAACCGATGAGAACTTTTGGGTACATAAAGATCTCAAAATGACGTTGCTCCATCTTAAAACCCTCCACGAGTGGTTGACGTTATATCGATTCGCCTGTTTTCTGTTTTCTTGATACTCGATGACCCACAGTAACAATAACTGTTAAAGATAATGCCAGAGGAGAAAAGGCTTTATGGAAGTTGTCATGCTTGTCCCCCCCTGCCACGTGAAAAAGGCATTGCAGTACTTTAGTAGTATATGGGTTAGAACTCAGATTTCATATCTTCATTTTATCTGCTTTCCACTGTAAAGCTATGATAAGGTTGAATCTCTAAGCTTGTCTGTTTTGTACACCGTTTAAACTATCAAAACGGTACAATCTGTTTTGGGACAAAGTCATGTGATGGGAAATGAAACGAGTTGTCCTATAAAAGGTGATAAGATGGCCATAACCTCAGTATTGAGTACCGCTGGTGTTAAGTTAGACGCTAAAGTTAAAGGGGGGCATTAATAGGGGTTTGCTACAGATCAAATATTTCTCCCACTTGGGAGGCTGTGATGCTATGTAGGTGTTGTTCCTCTTTTAGGCTCAGTTCTTGCCTATTACAGGGAAGTATATGAGGCCATCCGCTGTAGGACAGATGAGAGAGTGCAGGTTGAAGTGTTTCAGCGGTTACTCCAAAGGACCGATATCTCCGAGACGGTTGTAGGCCAGGTGAGGGGTTCACACAGCAACAGTCTATAAAAACATGTGTTATACAGCTGTAATGAGAAAGAGGCAGCACCTACCAGAAACAATCAAATATCACTCTCTGATTCTTGTCTTTTACTATAATAACTTATACAGCTTGTGTATCCATCCATCCAGCCACACACTCTTTAGATCCACTGATTGGCTCTTGAAGGGGCTGGAATATGAAACGTGCTAAAACTTATTTGATTCTGATAAGACGTTGTATGTTTTGTAAATTTGTATTAGGCAACGCAGATAATATCGATACAGGTGTAATGTCTTATCAGCAGGGGGTTTGTGAAAGCTTGGTGTAGGCTAGCAGACTGTTATTATCCACAATCTGTCAGATTTGGTTCCGGTCATGCTGAGACATAAGCTAATGTCACAACACATCTGAGTGTGTTATGTCTGTCATGGTTCAGTAGAATTTCCCTTTTATACATCATCGCCTTTGTGTCTAACGAGCACTTTCTGGGTCTTTTTTGGCGTGGAGGAATGCAAACCAGTTTGAATTGTGAATCTCGGACTGAGAAACAGGGACCTTCATCGTCACTTCGTCTTTGTCCTCAGATTGCTGAGCATGTTGACTCCTCAGACGGATTCCTGAGCAAGCTGTCCCTCTATAAAGCGCTCGCTTTGATCGCCCCTCGCTCAGCAAGGAAAGCCACCGAGTCCCAAACTCCTGGAGAACTGCATACAAGGTAGGCGACAGTGACAGCGGAGCAGTAAAGCTTTTGCTTAATGAATAGCTCGATGATTCCTCTGATTGTCTGAGGGCAACCTCAGCGATCCTCCCACTGTTAAGAAATGTCATCACTCTTTTATTGGCTAACAGAAGTTCTCTGTGACAGTTTACCACTGGGATGCACCCGCTTATCTCTTTAAATTAGATACACGACAGCATACAATCATAATGATTATAAAGTAACATTTGGGAGTATTTTATATACTGTATACACTTTCAATCCATACTTTAAGTTTATTTTACAACAAAAGAAAATGTACTTAAATTCAGCTGTTTGTTTTATTTTGGTAGGGAAGCCTGAGCTGTGTGCAAGTGTTGCATTCTTTCACTGTGCCACAGTGGGAAGATGATAGGGGGAGTTTCATGGTTTTCATAGAGGTAGCCATTATGCTGGCTTGAGATTCATTCCCGAACTTCTATGATTATTTAAGGCTCTCTCTGTTATTTCAGGTGGGGCCACTATGGCAACCAGCTGCCTGCCACTTCCTCAAGTGCACAAGAACAAGCTTTCTGCGCTTTGTCGTGGCACATTACATTCAATTCATGACCCTCTTGGAATGTACAGAAAGGGACGAACAACAGACGGTATGCACAATACTGTGCTAGCTAAAGACAAACAGAGCGAGACACGTAGTTATCTGTTGATAAGAGAAAAGTGGTTTTAACACCAGCATTCCTCACGGTTAGGAAACTCAGTTCATTCAAGAGTTATTGATTTAATTTTAAAGTTGGTGCTGCTTTTGTGCTCGGCAGAGTTACCAAAACCTCAGCTCGGGGAGCAGAGGGACCTGAACGCATTGAGGATGCAGCCGGCTCAGGAGGACGTCCTGACGATGTCCCAGACGCTGGACAAACTGCTGGTCAGCGACACGGTCCATTTGGAGCTCATACCTGAGAAGAAGGGCTTGTTCCTCAAACATGTGGAGTACCAGGTCACCAGCCAGGCAAGGGGTCCCGTTAAATCCCACCGCATGTAAATGAGTGTGTTAGAAATTACACTGTTCCAGTTTAATTTGTTGAGTTTGCAGTCTACATGAATAAAAGTACAGATGTACCTTCTATTATTATGTAACTAAGTTTGCAACAGAAAACTTTTATTCTGATTATTTTCTTTCTCTGCTTTTTGTTTTCAGCGTTATAAGATATCAGTTTACCGGCGCTACAGTGATTTTGATGTCTTCCACGAGGTTTTGCTTCAGAGGTTTGCCTACAGAGTGGTGCCGGCGCTGCCGCCTAAAAGGATGTTAAAGGGAGGTACGTTACACATTCATCAATGTATTCCTTTGTTCCTGCATTTCCTGCATCTTTCTTTCTGATCCCATTAATGTTTTCAGAGCATTGTTTGGAATATTTGGGTTCGTATGCTTTACTGAAAGGTAGTTGTAAATATCCAGGTGCCTTTGGATTTTCTTTTTTGTGCTTGATGATTTTTCCTTGTCAAAACCTGGTGCCTACATTACCCACAATGCAACTTGACCACGGATAGTTGGGTAGGAGATTCAGGTGTTTTATGCTAGCAGCAGCTAAAGTAGCTTAGCACGGCTAGCCTCAGGCAGAGAGGAGGAGCAGCACTTTTTTCTAAAAAGTTATCTGATTTGTAACGGCTCCCTATGAAGCCACATAAAGATATATACAACTTATTTTCACATATGCAGTAGTACACCTGTCAAGAGGTGGAGTTGTCATCTGATATTTCTATTTATTTATTATTATTTTATTTATTTCAAATAGTAAATCAACCGTAAACATTTGACATTAGTTTTTGACAACTGTCTAATCCTTTTATAGTGTGTCCACGTCTCATGGTGTTTTTTCTGGTGTCCGTCCACAGTGCTGACCTCCGTCTCTGAGCGCGACTTCATCGAGGGGAGGAGACGTGCTCTCGGCAGATTCATTAACCTGGTGGCACGGCATCCCTTCTTCTCAGAGGACGAGCTGGTCAAGACCTTCCTCACCTTCAGCGGCTCCGTACGTAGTGTCATTGTAACTCGAGGCCCCGGCTGTTGCACAATAAAGCGTTATCGTAATGATGACTGACAGTGAGGAGCATCCTGTTCCAGTTACTCACTGTCTTTTTCCACTCACACACTCCTCACCCCCGTCCTCCCAAAACAGGATGTTCAGAGCAAGCTGCGCGACACTTACAAGAAAACGGGCGATGAATTCATGACCAACAGACTCGCAACCCAGGCGAAGGTTTGTCACATGTGTGCAATGAGGGGGAAAAAAATACTTTTTTCACAAACAATCCGCTGCATTTTAAAGGATTGGATTTGTTTTGTAGGAATATCTCCCCGCTGACATCCAGGCTCAGTTCTCGACAAGCAGAGAGCTGATTAGAAATATTCACAACAGCTTCCAGAAGCTGCGGGACAGAGCTGAGAAGATGGCAGAGCGCTCTAAGGAGAATGCAACTGATCTCCTCATGTTTGGCAGAGAGCTCAGGTATTTTTATTACTGTGGGTATAAAGTCTTTCTCAACAATCCAGATGTTTTGGACTGAGAAAACAAATGTTAATGAGATTCCAAATCCTCGGTGTTGTTGTGTCTCTTCGTGGTTGTTAGTTTGAAATTAGTTTGGCAGCTAAGACGCTACAATGTCACATTCTGGCCCTTTAATAATGCTTCTTTTATTTAATTTTTTTCATCAGTACTCTGGGCTCAGATGCTTCGACTCTTCCCTCCTTGGCCTCCTCTCAAAGCACCTGGGGGACGCTTCGTCAGTCTCTGAAGAGTCTGTCTGTGGAGTTCGCTGTGCTGTCTGACAAAGCCGCTCAGCAGGTACGGCCCTCGGCCCTTCATGCCCACCACCTGCTCTGCCGCGCTTGTCCGAGACTGGCACCGGGTAATAAATGTTGTTTTGTTTTTGTGTCCTCAGAGCAGACGGGAAGAGGATGATGTTGTGGAAAAACTGAATCTTTTCCTGGATTTGCTGCAGTCGTACAGAGTAAGTCAGTTTCACTTTTTTTTTTTGTCGCGCTCATTTTAACCTGAGCATGGACAGGTGGTTCTGTACTGACGTTTGCACATTTGTAATCACAGTCTAATGATGGTTCACTTCATGAAGCACTGCAAAACTGTTTTTATCCATCAAGGCTATACAAATATCAATCTCCTGTTTTCTGACGGAGAGACACAACGAAGAGCTGTATAGTTGAAGTAAATTCCGGTTCAGTTAGTAATTAATTCAGGATATTATGCAATGAGTCATTTAACAACAATGCACCCTATTTTTTCATCTCAATTGGAACCGTAGTTCTTAGTAGTGGGTGGTTTGCAGAGATTAAACAAGGGCACTGGTGGGCAGATAAAGTGGCATTTTCTATAGCCTCTATTAACTGTAATATGGTAATGTCATAATTTGTACAAACAATTCTCCTATCGTCCTTGGCTGTTGTGTATTATATAACCGTGCCATTTTGAGAGACATAAGCTTCATGTGTTCTTTCTCTAGGACCTCTGCGAGCGGCACGAGAAAGGCGTGCTCCACGAGCACCAGAGAGCTCTGCACAAGTACGGCATGATGAAGAGGCAGATGATGAGCGCCACGGTGCAGCCCAAAGAGCAGGCGTCTGTGGAGCAGCTGGAGTCACGAATTGTTCAGGTGGCCAATCTCTTTCCACACTTTTAGACCGTCAGGATGCTTCCTGATTGATAGCACACTGTGTTAGTTTAGTAGTAGATAAGCAAGATGCTACATTGGCCCGGGTGTATCTGTTGCTAATACACACACACAAACCTCCTAATACTCCACTAGCCAAAACTCAAATATATGCATGTTTTAACCATGGATGAGAACGAGAAACAGCGTTCATTACTAAGCAAGTTGCTCAGTGGCACATGAAGCAGAACAAGTTAAGTATAAAATTCAGATAAAATCAATATTTAAAAAATGATCGGCTGAGATACAGACCTCTCTTTCCCAATGTTAGTTTCTATATACAGTTTAAAATGCTCACACTTTCATATTTCCCAGGTTGAGAAATTAAATCAACAACAAAAATACAAATTCTATTGAAAAAGTCATTGTGAGGAGGCTGATACAATGATATTACTTCATGAATAATACGTTTGAATGAACCAAGTGAACATTTCAAACAATACCAATCATCATTATGTGTCACTGTTGCTGGATACTGCTGTTGGTTTTCATCTTGTGACTGTCGTTCCTCTTAGTCAGTGTAGTTTGTGAGTGTTTGACCTATCTGTGTCATGAGTTTCAAGAGTGGCAGTTGGCAGTTTTCTTACCAATGTACCTTCAGTCTGGGCCCAGAGGACTGTTCTGTCAGTCATTAGCTGTGATTAAGTTACTTAAGTGTTTAGATTATTACATCATTATCACAGACAGAGTGTTTGATATGCTGCCGAAATGAGCAGCATTTTGTTTTTAACAAATAAAAGCTGCCGTAAGTCTGATTTAGGCCTCAAAGCAGTTAGAGAATAATTGCTGAGTTTTGAAGATTTGCGCATTAACTTGTACATTTTTGTCGATTGAGTCACAAGGAAACTATTAACAACTAATGTTAGATGTGCTACGTTATTCAAAAGATGTCTACACATCTCAGCTAGCAGCTCTACGACTCTGTACTCGTGCACAGTGATGCTTTGAGCTAACTGCTAATCAGCATGCTAACATGCTCAGAATGAAAATGCTAACATGCCAATGTGAATACATCGTTTACCATGTTCACCAACTTAGTTTAGCGTGTTAGCATGCTAACATCTGCTAATTAGCACTAAACACAAAGTACAGCTGAGGTCGACGGGGATGTTATGAGTTTATCAGGTCGGCTTTTTGGTCACAAAGCTCACCAAAGTTATTACAAATCATCCTGAGGGAAATATGATTGTGTGTACCAAATGTAAATACATCTAATGGTTATTGAGACATTTCATAAAAAAACACAAATGTGATACTAGAGTAACAGCCAGGGGATCACCAGAGGATTCATCTTCTCATGAATGTCTGAGGTTTCTAGTCGGACTGAAGTGACCGTTGGCATTTTAATAATAGAAGAGTAATATGCTGAGATTAATGCATCCTGGCATTTCATTTTGAATATCTGCTCAGTCCTATAACTGTGACTGCAACCTTCCACGAGGCTTCTTCGTCAGTGACAGACAGCAGTGTTGGTGTCAGTTATGGAGAGTGAGTCGGCGATGAACAAAATTAAGAAATAGTTCACATGTGAATCAAACGTGGAGCCAATTAATGACCTAATGGAATGATTTATGGGCATCTCCCTGTTTGAGCAGAGCTTCATCAGCCTCATCTCTGGTATCGTTTGAGGAAAATGTATTTTTTTCATTACTCATCATTTGATAAGCGGTGCTAATGTCACACTGAGTTCCTTTTTCATTATTCTGTTAATAGCAAGAAAACGCCATTCAGACCATGGAGCTGCGTAACTACTTCTCCCTGTTCTGCCTCCACCAAGAGACACAGCTCATCTTCATCTACCTCCCAATCACATCCCACATTCTGGGGGCTTTCGTTAACTCCCAGGTCCAAGGACACAGAGAGGTGAGGCTGCTTGTCTGGAATTCATTTCTCCACAGACCCTTCAGGAGGGTCAAATCACTTTTAAATTGGCTTTTAAAGTCCAACAAAAGAACTAATAATGGTGGATGGTATCACTGCAAAGAAACCCTCTCCTTCTGTAGCTTTGAGCTGACTTTCATTCCACAGGAACAAGTGAACCTCTCATATACCTCCTCCTGTTTTAAAATCAAATAAAGCACACCAGTATGTATTTCTTTGGTTGGATGTTTTTTTTATCTGAAGCTAATCTTTTTTACTCAAATTCCAATATGGCAACATTTTGAGAGGGTTTCTTTTGATACGTAGACTTAGATGTTTCCTGAAAAGGATAACTTGCGAACCACTACAAGTAATGTTTTGAATGCTTGAGATTATATTAGTATGATGAGTTTCAAGGAAATGTAGGTAAAGAGAAGTGGCTATTTGCTTTCTTTCCAGATGGGAGCGGTGTGGAATGAACTCCAGCCAAAGCTCGGATGTCTCTTTGGTGGAAATAACGGATTGAAACCTCTCACCTGAAACCTAAATACAGCAGAGAACCGCTGCCGCCGACGAGGATCACAAACTGGAAAATAACTTGCTCTGTGAGCTAAAGAGAAGTCTTCTTTTACACAATTTACATTCCATTCAACAAGAGTATTTCTTTTTATGTAAATGGCTTCTCATCTTATTTTTGGGGGTTTTGATCATCAACCATGTGGGTCCATTTAATGCCATGCTTGATGAGGAAATATAAATGCTGTTTTTCAAGGTACCCGTCAGAATGTCAGACGTGAGGGATGACAGTATATTAATGCGGTCCATCTCCTTTCCTAAATCACCTGTTTCTAACTTGTGAGGAGTTTTATACACTAAGATAGTTCAGAAACATTGAGAGAGCGACAGCAAGTTTCAGTTTATTAAAGGATGGGATTCTTTTAAATCTCCAGTCATGAAGGTTTTACTTTCAGAATGACTTCAGAATGTCTTTTTTATACAGATTTCAGTTCATCAGGTTGCGTGGCAGCGTACTTTATATGTTTTATGGACAATTTTGGCATTTATCTTACTTTTACATTGTTTACTTTTTTGTAAAGCAACATATTTGCTTCCTCTGCTTATATTGACTCCCAGTTTTATTTCATAAGCTACTTTGAAAGGCCGATGCTCCATGTACAATACTACACAGAGTAAACACAGATTAAAAATGACAACCTTTAGTTCTAGTGGCATAATGTCAACAATAACACTATAAGATATTGATTTACTACCAAAGGGAAATTATATAAATCCACACAGCGGTGCATAAATCATGTAACAGGATCACTGCACAGTGTGAATTTAGACCTTTAATAATCAGCACTTTTTGACCATGTCACATTGTAGATGGAGGCTATTTTTCAGTTAGAGAAATCCTAATTAAAATTTGTTTTATAAGGGTTAGGCTTATCAGGAAAAACAAGATCTGGTTATTGCCTTTCTACTCAGACATTTGGCATGAAAACAATCATGCACCTTTATGTCTGCACATACATAGTTTATCAGAACTTTATGTATTTTTCTAAATAATAAAATCAAAGGGACAAGTTGCCGTATATGTGCTCATGTTACCTCACAAACTGATATCATCTCAAATACACCGAACTGACTACATGCAAATTCGGGAAATGTGCGCATAGATCGACTTTTGTTTGATGAATAAACTGATAGTGTGCAAAATAAATTCATCTGGAATCATAACTAACCTGCACACTATATGAAATCCAATAAAATGATTACTGTAGATATTGTAAATATTTTATTAAACAAGTCCTTGTTGAATTGTGTTAAATCAATTATCCTGAAAATAAAATCACAGAATGGATATTTCTGTCAGTATAATTCTGCTTTGATTGATTTTTATCAGAAAACAAAGAGTTAAATCTCAATGTGTCATTTCACATGTAAACCGTTTCCTCCCACAACAAACACTGAACAGCGGGATTACTTTTGCATTTAAGGAAGAACTTTGGAAGGCCGATGGTTTTCTTTTGTCACCGTCATAAATGTCCTCTGAAACGCAGGTCTTCTCACAGTTCCTCCACCTCTTCCAGTTTGTGGCTGAGGATCAGATCGTGACCCTGAAACTTAAAGTATCCGACAAATTTCTTCTTCTGGAGCATCAGCGGGAACCACAGGATGTCGTCGGCCCACATTTGACTGAAAGGAATTTGGTCCCAATCGAACCACTGAGGCCGCATTTCTAGAAGACAATAGAGGACAAAATTAGTAGACCTAAGAATTAAACCCATTTTATCATCTGACACGACCTGTTAGAGGAGGGTCAAGAATTATTGAGTTGAGAACGTATTTTTTTGTGAACTCATTCTTTCTCTGAACTCCTTATCTGTTCTATACAAGGAAAAACCTTTTATAAAGGTCCCACCTGGAACCCTTTCAGAGGGTTATACCTAAAACCAAACAGAAAGGGTTAAGGGTTTCATCTAGAAACCACACAGGGGGTCTATTCAGAACCCTTTTTATTCCGAGGGTTTCATCTAGAACCCACCCACAGGGATCTACCGAGAACACTTTTCTATTCCAAGGGGTTTCATCAAGAACCCTCCCAAGGGCTGATGTGGTGCAGCTGAACCCACTACAGTCATGGTTCACAATCACAGTTTTTTGGGGGGTTGTAGGCTGGATTGTGCATCGTTCCCTTTTCACACACTCATGCTTTCAACAATCCTTGAAGAACCATTTATTAAAAAAAGGGTTCTTCAGAAGCAAATGGTTCTGGGTCGAAGCCTTTCAGGCTGAACCTTTCTAGAGTCCTCTCTTGTGAAATCAGTGTCAACACCTCCACATTCTTTCTTTCCACTAACTTCAGCACATCTGCTTTTCCCTCCATTTGTCTCTTCGCCCCTTGGCTGTTTGGCCTCTCTTGACCTCCCGACTCTTTGGTCGAGTGCTGCACTCTGCTGCGTGTCTCTAAACTTCCCCCAGTTGACTTTTGACTGAACTCTCAGGAAACCCTTCAGGTCTCTGCATTCCTTCTGCTGGGGGCCTCTTCATCCCTTTGTGTATTTACAGTCTTTTAAACGTCACCTCTGAGAGCACATTCTCAAAGACTCCTCCTCTTAACTAATGTGCTCTCCCTGCTCACTGGCATGTCTGTGAGAAGTGTCTCAATCAGTTTACTTAGAAGGATCGCTGCGGTCAATGTGGTTTTAAAAGTTGAACCGAAAACTGTTTAGATTCTCAGAAGGTCTCATTATCTCAACTTTAAGGACAAAGTAGTGCCAAGTGCTGAACTGGAAGTCATGATTAAGGGGAACCAAAAGTGAAAAGATTGTTTTTCTGCCGGATCACATGTTTTTGTTTTTCTTTACACATCAGCAACTTGTAATTATGTACAACAACAATGTGGAATTCTTCTTCGACTCCACAGATGTTTCTTTTCATGGTAATAAAGGGCACTTCTATTTTCTAAGCGTTTTAAAACTGATGCTGTGTGAATATCATAGAGCTGTTTTCTAGCTCCACTGATCCATAATATTAATTATCACTTTTCATAAAACACAAAACCCTGAAAAGAAATGATGCCGCAATTTTTCTCCACAGTTGAGTGTGGTGCAGTCGAAAATCATACAACCTTCTGACTCCGTCGGTTCTCCGTTATAAGCGTCGGCTCTGAAAACGTGGACGTCGAGCAGCAGCGTTTCACCGACAAATTCAAATTTGATGTTTCCGACCTTCTCGAGAGCGTCCACCGTGAGCCCGCTTTCTTCCAGCAGCTCTCTGAAAATGAAAAACATCAAATGAATATTTAATGAGGTGGATTTTAAAATGTGAACTCACAATAGACTTCACACAGACACTAAAAGCAAGTAAAGTGATAGTACCAGACCGGACATCTTAGCTGAACAGTATAAAGTATCTTCACCGATACAAAGAGGAAGAACCGGTCTCTTGCTTCCGAACACTAACGCTGGCTTGAGATGTTCCTGATTTATTTATGCTGCCTGTATTCTTCACACAGACCAGGTCTCTTTCTATATCTGAGAGCAAACATCTTGGCCTTCAGGGTTTCCTTCCTTTAGCTTTGGAGCAAACTTCCTGCTGATGACACTTAGACTCTGCAGAAGTGTGCACTCCAGATTAAAATTCGTACAGTTATAAAGAGAGGGATCAAGGGTGGGGGCCTGTTTCATCTTGTTTCATCCCATGCAGGCCGTGCATAAAGAAGTGCTTTATCTGTGCAACAACAGACACACAGATGCATACGTTTTATCCTTAAGGCATTGAACATGTGAACATACAATAGGTACTTGTTATCCAACACGAAGAAGAGGACATGTGTTACATGTCTGTTACACAAGTTATAAAACAGTTGTATTTTATAAGAATATAAAATACACATGAGAATATCAAGTTGAAATGATGTAATGCAGCTGAAAAGTTGATTGTGAAATCAATTAAATCTATAAGAAAACACATAATTGAAAGTAATACTTTGTTTTTCATACTTTTTTAAAGGAGGAATACATATAGAAGTTTCTGCTTTTGTAGCTTGTTTTCATTCAGACTTTGCTTACCTGTCAAACCTGTGAACTGCATCTTAACAACAACAAACAACAAACAACAACAACAACAACAACAACAACTGGAGAGACAGTTTTTACCTTCTTGCACCATCTTCAATAGTTTCTCCTGGCTGAACTTTGCCTCCAAACCCGTTCCACTTCCCAGCCCCAAATCCTCTCTTCTTCATGCCGAGCAGCACTCTGCCCGGCTGGACCACCAGCACCAGGGTCAGCAGCTTGCTGGAGCTCAACATCTCACCTGTCTAGTCCAGTAAACACAATGTAAACAAAGCCTGACGCAACGTGGTCTGATGTTCATGTACTGTATGAGCTCAGTCCTCCTCACCTGTTCAAATTCTGCTCTGTGGTACCAGAAGAAGACAGCAGAAGAATATATATATTATATAGAAACAAGACTTCACGTTGAAAGACTCCCGCGTGCAGCGCCGCAGACGTCGTCACGTGACGCGCTGACGTATAGGAGCGCGGATTGGTCTGATCAACGTCAGACTTGAACCACGAGTCCCATCGTTTGAATGAGGTGTGTTACCTTAAAGTATGTCCGACTAGAAACTGTACCGGACCAACGTGTCCTCCAGTCAAACCCATTTTAAAAACAGAGACGTGAAACATGACTGTCCCAGATAGGACCTACTGTTGTTAACGTTTTGTAGTAAGGGGACATATAAGAATGACGCACAGTATTGAGCCAATGGTGAGTTGCATTTGCACGCAGGCGCAGTTTACCACACGTTACAAATGCACCCTGTACCATTGACCGCAGTAAACACAGTAATGTGGTGCGTGTCCCTCCAGAGGAGATCCCTCCACTCCTCGTGGAGTTTAATGAAGAAGTTAACGGGGAAAAGTCCCGCCGAGCAGCGGTGGCTGCAGCGGCAGCTCAAAGACCCGTATGTCAAAGCTTCTCACGCACAACACTTCCGGTGCAGAAGCGCCTTCAAGCTGCTGGAGATAGATGACAAGTTCAGGCTCCTGCAGCCGGGATGCAGTGTGGTGGACTGCGGAGCTGCACCCGGAGCCTGGAGCCAGGTGGCCGTCCGGAGGGTCAACTCAGCCGGGACAGGTGAGGGGGTGAGACGGGTCCACAGACATTTTAAATACCCTCCTGACTGCAGTCCTCTGTGGATGGAAAGGCCTAAATAAAGCAGTTTGATCATTATTTATCATTGGTCCTGGAGGATGTGGTCATTTTGCACCACATTAACATTACAAGAACACTTATTATATGTTTTACTCAGTAGACTAAGTCTGTTTAAATTATAATTTTCATGTAATACATGATGAGTTATTGTGGCACAAGTAAGCAGTTTGTTATACATTGTATAAATATTATTTCTGCTAAAAAAGAATCAATAAATAATAACGTACAGCAATGAGAGACTCATTTTACAAGTTTTATTCATAAAGCATCACTGTAGTTGACATTTGGCTGTAGCCTCTAAACTTTATACAAATGCAGGAAACCCACATTGCTGCAGTTTAATAGTATCTGTGATGTAGAACATAATGAGAAGTATAATTCTTATGTAGTAGATAGATGACACAGTTGATGCCAAATGTTTTAGTCCATGCAATCGTAGTCCTAACCCAACTGTCACCTACATTTCTTACTTTTGTTATTCTTGAGATTTGTTTCCCCCACCTTGCAGTCAGTCTCTGGTTTTTATTTACTTTATTAAGAATCAACATCAACATTTTATTATTGTTGCTTTATGTGGCGTTGTAGGTGCAGATTTTTTCAAAAAGTCTGATGCTAAATGAGATGGTTTGTTCCAAACTCTAAATTCAACCAACGGAAGCTAAACAACGTTGTTTTATAACCTTGAAAAACAGCTTTTGAAGGATCCATGGCCGTTGTAGTATAGGAGGTTTTGAATGCATTTCTTTTGGAAGATGTATTTGTTTAGACAGGGAAAGAAGTGACGGGTAGCAGGGAGGTAATACTATATTATAATTAGCTTATATTTGTTACATGACCACATTGCTTGGGATTCATTAAATCTGATGGAAGAAACCCAAATAACACTCTCTCTTACACACAGAATTATCTACGTTACAGCTGACAGGTTTTCTTGCGTCCTAGATCCGGCGCTACCACATGGTACGGTGGTCGGCATTGACCTGCTGAACATACCACTGCTAGACGGTGCCCACTTCCTGTCCAGCCACGATGTCACTGACCCCGTCACGCACACCAAGCTGCTGGAGCTGCTCCCCGGCGGCCGGGCCCACGTCATCCTGAGCGACATGGCGCCCAACGCCAGCGGTTTCCGGGAGATGGACCACGAGAAACTCGTCACAATGTGTTTGTCTTTGATAGACATGGCTGAGAGGGTTTTACAGCCGGGGGGCTCCCTGGTTTGTAAATACTGGGACGGGATCCTCGCTCACAAACTCCAGGAGAAGCTCTCGAGTGTGTTCGGAAAGGTTCAGACTTTAAAGCCCAACGCCAGCAGGAAGGAGTCAGCTGAGAGGTATTTCCTCGCTCGAATGTACAGAAAGGCAGCAAAATGATCACCAGGAACATGAAGAAGAGGCTTACTTAATATCTTTGATCAAAAGGTGGCACTGTTGAGGCACCGGTGAGGCTCACAGCTGCAGGCGCAGTCTCATCACACGCTGCTGGATGCTGATTTCTATCCCTGCAAACGCAACACAGCGGCAGCAGTGAATCAGTAACATGCAAACTTATGCGAGAATCATCAGTGTGGTATTCCTCAAAAGCCCCGTTTTCTCTGAAGTTATTGTTTGCCCCACAGTGTTTGTTCTACACAGTCACTCCGGTATTTGCTTTGTTACAGAAAGTCATTTACCAGTTCTGCTTATGCTAATAATTTGCACTGCCAGCCATGTAGAAATATGTAATCATTCTCTCATTGAGAGCTTATGAAGGGACGAGCCAATACAGAGTCACATACAGCATGACTAATGGGAAGTGGGATGATACGGAATCTTGGCACACCGCAAGTGTTGTCAGGCTCTGCTCTCTGACAGTGCAGAGATGTCCATTTCCTGTGCGGAATATTTTCAGTCCAGTAGACAGATTTCCTCTCGAGAGTCTTCTTTAAATCACGGTGTTGGACACTTTGGGAAAGTCCTATTTATTGTCTTTGTTTCATTGCTTTCTCACACTGATATGATTCTGGTGAAGCCAGAGTTCAGAACCACTGGTGATGGAATAAAAGGATGCTTTCTGTCAAAGCTGCATTATAGAAGACACAACTCATATATTTGATGTCACAGAGATCTATGGAGGGATTGACAGAATGGCTTTTCTAATATAACATTGTCTACAGTGACATGTGTACAATTGTTCTTCTTTGACTTGCAGTCCAGTGTCTCTGTTTATCAGGGACGTAGCACCAGTATTTGGGCCCGGTGCCGAGGTCTCAGTGGGCCCCCTTCCCTTCTTCATACGTCCTTTCTCATGCATGCACAAATCATTTTTTGGGGCAGTTTATGCCTCAATTATAGCCAGAGAGAGAAATGGACAGAGAGAAATGGCAACATTGTTTTAGATACAAAGAATAATCCGTCAAACTAGTTTATTTATCCACCGATAATTCACCAATGTGGCTGACAATGTGAAATTTAAAATTACAGATGGAAAGAAACTTTGACTCACAGGCTTTGTGAGTGGTTGGTTCCGCCTTTGCCCTCACCGTGAGGCTCCTGCTCATTCACAGATTAATAACAGGCCCGATAAGCAACAATTAGAGGATGTTATGAGTTATGGATGCTGCATAATGTGTGGAGATAACCTTTTGAGAAGAGGTGATTGTACATATGTATTGTTCTTGAGTTTAAGATTAAGTACATTTAGATAAACAACATATTTTCTGGAAGTCAAGTCGTTTTTATTAAATTGACTTTTCCATCTGAATTCACGTTTCTAATAATGTAACTGTATAATCATATTACTTATTAAAACAAACATTCTTCAAATGACCGATGGCTTATCATTGCCATTGAAATCATATTACTCATAACTATCTTAAAAGTCTGATTGTTCCACAAAATATAAATTAGAAGCTTAATTAAGACTGAATTAGCATCTATGGCAGCAAAAGGAAGAGCTGGCTCACATGAATACATTAATAAGGCTGCTATTTAGCCTTTCTGTCTCAGGAGTGATGAGTAATACAGTGAAACATTCATGCCTCTTGGTTAAATAAACTGCAGAGACTGACCTCTAAATATGATTGTTTGGAATGAATGGGGAGCAGCCGAGGCCGTTGATGAAGCCGATGGTGAAAGATGTGAACAGATGACCAATTCTACTTCTCATTACTTGTTGATTATTGAGCCGTTTGCTATTTAGATTCAAATTATTCTCAAATTACTGTGGGATTTATGTTAATTCCACCGAGCCGAGCAGCCCGGCTCAGGATGAATGATGATTCATTCGCAGGTTAATTGATTCTTCTCCGGCCAGCTGCAGGTTCGGATGTAAATATTAGTAAATTAAGAGGAAAAACAGTCGCAAATTTCCAATTCAGAGCGAACGCTGAGATGCAGCAATCAACTCAATGATTGCTTGAATTTTGCAAACAAATCTGCCGCACAAAAAACCTCTTTGAACTGCTGTGATTGTTTTCTTATTGAATTTGTTTGCGTGCAGTTGATATTCATGATATCAAAGGTGACGTAATATACAACAGCTTAAATACTATTAATATAGTTAATATGTATTGAACACATAGCTGCTGAATATCTCTAAGTTCCTCCTTCAGTTTATACGTAAGAGGGGATTTATGATCACGTTATGAGGATGAAGATGAGTATAATCAGCTGCCACTTAGTGTCACCTTAATCAAGTATAAGCTGGAGATGTCTGTGCATGAGGAAGGTGTTTCTTTTTACAGGTTTTTATGAATATAATTGCGTTCATTAGTGAGCTCTTAATAGATGCATCTGCCTCCTGTGTGCTCTGCCGTTATGTGCTGTGGTGTCAGAGGCCTAAAGGAGACACAAAGTTAGAAAAAGCTCCGAATCGATCTGTTCCCCCGCATGCATGCTTTCATAAACACTGCACGGCGTTTTCAGACGAGCAAATGATGATCATGAGATGCAACGAAACTCCTTTTCAAATGTTGCTCCGTCTCTCCAATGAAAACAAACAGTCTCTCGAATATGAACACGGTGGGAGTCTGAAATTGACAGGAAATTAAAGAAACGGTAATATCATTTCGAACCATCGTGGCATTCATTCCCTCGGCTGACCCGAGCTCCCAAAATGAATTGCGCGTCTGACAACATTCATCACTCCCTGAGCCAAGCAGGCCTTCACTGACACAACGTAATGACTGCTATTATGATGATCATCTCATACCATCTTCACGGCTAAATGAATCTGAAATCTCAGGACGGTATGACGAGTGAAACTCTTTTTTTTTTCTTTCCGCTCTGTTTATGATGTCGATGTTTTTGCAAGCTGTTTGACAAAATGACACAGAAGTTTCCCCGTAAGCAACGGAGAGGCTCAGAACACGTGGGAGTTTTCAAAATGAAGCATGCCATTTTGAATATTCATGTCCGTTCTAACGTGACGATGGAGCCGCAGCGCTGCAGTGCCTCTCTCACCACGACGTGTTCAAGTTTGCCAAACACTTCCAGGTATTTTGTATCACACAAAAGGGACCCACGTGAATAATCAAGCAATCTCCTCTTGATCTTTGCCTTTTTTTTCTTCTTCTTTTTCTCGCTGTGCACTTTTGTTGCGTCAGTCCTGCGGAAAAATGTCAGGAACATTATTGCAAACAGGGTGAAGGATTGTTGTGGGAGGAGGGTTAAAGGGACACGGGCGACAACCTAACACAGGCTATACGGAGAACAAACAAAGCACAGGTTGCACTCAGTGGCACCATTTGCATCCTCGTATCAGCCAGGCCTGACATTTACCAGCGAGTATGGAAAGTGACTGCGGAGCGAAAGTGAAAGCTAATGACCTTATGTTAACATTCTCACTGCCAATCTGCATTTCCTTCAGGTAATGTATCAGAGGAACGTCTGTCAAGCAAAGGAAGAGGAGGAAGGGGATCATATAGAGTTGGTCTTTTCTTTTCTTCATTGATGTCCACTGTGTTCTTTGCATTTGCACTCAAACACTGGTTTCTTTTCTTTTCTTCCATTGAGGAACTAGTCATAATTAGTACTTAATTGGTTCTACGCAGATTAAACATTATGGCTTAAAGTGGCAGCTTAAAGAGGAGTACAGCTTTAAACCCTCTAGAGCTCATGAATACTAGTGCTTCATATCATCATCAGCTGTCCTTTGAAGAGCACAAAGAAAAGATCAGTTATCAACATTGTAAACACCTCAAGCGTCTGTAATGGTTAGATCGTGTTAATACGTTTCCCATGAATCGGCTAATGAGTCGGAATCAGATGTTTCCCCTCGTTTCTTGTGCAGACGTTGTCCGTTTCTGCAGTAATGTGTGCGTAAAGCCAGGCGACTTGTTTTCGTCAAGATACTGATCGGTTTACATCATTTTCAACCTTTTGCAGTCTGTGAATGGAGAAGACCGAGGAGGTTCCAGCTGGCGTCAACTCCAAAATACAAAAAAACAAACTATAAAAGCTCACCGAGTGAAAGGCTCTGCCCTGTTATTGGCATCAAACTGTGAAGCACAGATGTTATTTGATTATGCATCTATATTCTGCTATAAAAGTCTAACCCTTTTACAAAAGATTGCTCATTGGCTCATGGGTAATGTCCGTGCATCTGAACCTGCACGTCGCTCAGCAATGAGTTATGTCTGTATGAAATAAGATGCAGTTGTTGCAGCAAGTTTAAAGAGCAGTTTTGACTTCTCTAATGGAGTCCAGCATGCGGATGTGTTTGGGTGCAGCACAGGAGACGCCCTGGCACCCGTTGTGCTGAGGTTGATGGCTGCTGGTGCCAGTAGAAATACTGCATTAAAGCTGCTGTTGTGAACTTTGAGAGAGCACCCCCGCCCCCTACTGCACTTCAGTCTGTAAATGTTTTGACCCAAATCAACCTCTCTATTATATTCTTCTCAAAAAGGAGACAGAGAAGACGTTCAGATCTGCACACTGATGCAAAGAAAACAAGTGGTGTTTGCAGAATAGTATAGTGTCTGATTTAGATTTATCATTTCAGGAATTCATCAAAATGAAATAAATACGAAAGATCCGGAACCAAAAACAAAGATGGTATCTATTCATATCTTGTCAACTGATCATTTTCTTAAATGATCTTGTCTTTATGGATTAATTATTCAATGGTAAAATTGAAACACCATTTAAAATCCTCAACAACATGAATGACGTATCAGATGTTAGTTTACGTAGACGTTGAGGAGTCTTTCCTTCTTTTCCTTCTTCAGCTTGGGTAAAAAAAACACAAAATATGAGACTTAATTTTGATAGTAGAGAGGTGACGGAGAGAAGGAATGTCATGCATCAAAGATCCCCGGGCAGGTTTGGAGATGGGGAAGTTGCGATTACATGATCGGTGTCGTAAAGCCCCCAAAGCCATCGTGACGCCCGCATGATGTTGGTCCGTTGAGACACTTGTTTGTGATTTTGGGCGATACAAATAAACTTGACTTGAGTTGACGTGGCTGCAACGTTCGCAATTTCATCTTTATTTTACATCTCTGCGGCTCCACTGTGTTTAAAGGTTGTGGGGCATGTTTCTTACCTCACCTATAAGAATCATTGTTTCTTCTTAGTGAACAAAGCAAGAAAAAGCCTCATCATCACTGAATGAATCATCGCTTCGTCAGAAGAGGCAACAGCTGAGCTGCATGCAATATTTCTCAGTTTAAGTGCTCTGTGCAAAGAGCAGAAACATGGAGGTTTTAATGAGGTTTTTGTTTTCTTTTCCATTTAATTAACTTGTCATGGGACGGTGGGGCAGTCTTCTGAGCATCGTGGGGCCGATCTGCTTGCTGGTGGGTTGAAAACAAGAGGAAATACTACTGGGAATGACGACTGGGCAGAAGACAGATGGTGCAAAGGCTAATTGTGACATCTCACTTCATGTAACTGTTCACATGTTATACAGAGGAGCTTACGGTGTCTGTACTCCCACTCAGGCAAAAGTTGCTGCTTTGCAAAAAAATCAAAACGCACAATGGTTTTGATAACTGCTTTTTTTTTACTATTAACTTGCAAATACATATTTTCTCTCAGCTAGCAAACATTTTCTCATTTCATTTGGAAAAATGTTTTAGTCGTTGAGGCAATATTACACTTATGATGCCACCATCTCCATCTTATGGAAGTCTGCTGGGCTGTAATTATATAAATGAAGAAATGTTGATCAAATCCAAGACTTTGAAGTAAATTCCACCCACTCAACATCCCAGGTAATGGCTGCAATCCCTCCTGGATTACTTAGAAAGCGAGAGAGGAAGCAGGGGAGTCTTTTGGAGTGTGCTCATTAATCTTTCCAAAAGATGCTGAAGGCAGGATTTGACATGGTTGTACAGCGGGCTCATATCAGCACTGTGTGGAGAGCCGGTTGCACAACCAGCGGAATGGGAGAGAGATCGGTCTCTCTGTGCTTCCTCGGAGCTCTACTGGTTGTTATGGTTGACTCGTCTCATTCCTGGAAGGTGTAAAACTCCGACCAGCAGGAGGGGAACACAGCACTTTTGGCAAAGCATCTCCGATTGTCTCAGAGTCGAGAGCAGCGGGAGGTTGATGAATGTAGAGGAAAAACATGTCCTCGTTGTTATGAAAGACGCTTGAATTATACGTGCTACTTTTTTTTCTCTTCAGAGTTTCCGTGGATTCAAGCTGTGATTTGAAATATTCATATAATTTGCAAAGACCCTGTTAACGTGGAGGACTTTTCCATTTTCAAGAGGATGTGGATTATGAGTGTCAGTGTTGACATACAATCATCATCAAAACAAACAACTTATCACTCGTCCTTTGAACAATCCCACATGTATTATTGTCTGCAGTGCAACAGGATAAGAAATCCAGAGTCTCCAGGGAAAATAGTCAACTGGTATTTCTCCATTCTGTATGGTCTTAATGCCAAAGGAACCCCTGAAAACGCCTTTGAAGTGAACAATATAAGAGTATGTTTGTGATTCACTCGTCAGAATTAGTGAATCTAGCGGGCTCTAAGTGCAAACCAACAAGAAAAGGGGGCTTCAAATGAGTTCCTTTCCATATTCTACAGCTTTGAAACAAATCGAAAGACATAATATTCAAACGTTGCGAAAGGAAAGAAAATGAGAAAAGAGAAAAGATGGATGAGTGTGGCGTAGCGGGGCCAAGGCGGGTTGTTGGTCAGGAGGCGGTGAGAGGTGAGGGGCGGCCTGATGAGACAACCAGCAGCACCTGAGTCCCATTAACTCTCTATATCTGTCCCCGTCCCTCTGCACAGTCGCCACCGTGGCCTCATCCTTTTCTGCCCGGGTTTCTATCTATGACAATAGCATTATGCTGCCCTGCTTTTCATTTCTGTTCAGGTCCAGGAGAGCCTCGGCAGAAGCCACCATTTTGAAAACTTCTTCCTTTGTGACTCGCCTCCACATGCAGGGGGAGCGATCTCTTTGTTTCCACTTTTATTGTTCTGATTTTGTTTCAGAATCGCTCTGTCATCCACTTTTCCTCAGCCGTCCTTGAAATGAAAGAACATCTCTTGCCATGGTCTTTTGGCTTTGTGAAATTAAAAAAAGGAAAGAGAGAGCAAAAAGCAAATACAATACATGAAAAAATAAAAACTCTGCTCCTCGTTTCCCAAGGGCATCGTTTTCATTTTATTGAAGGCTTATTCATGGTTGCTGAGATGTTTGAAGAGGCAGAAGAAGAAATGACGGGCATTTGTTGTTTCCTGTCACATAATGAAATAATCACCTTATTTTTGATTGTGATGAATTTAACGTACCAAACCTAGATTTATGAATTGAAAAGTGTGCGTCACTTTTCGGTAACGAGGGATCAAACCTGCTGTATTCTTGCCTGTGTCATGCTTGTTTGCACTCACATCTCAGTGCTGCAGGAGAACTCATCCACCCAAAACCCCATGTAGTTAAAATGAATATGTTTTAAAACTTTATCATTGTAATGTTTGTGGTTTTAGGTGGGTTTATGTGGCGTAATCATTTCTTGGCGAAGTGACTTCCCAGAGTCTTGCCGTCACTGTGAGGTTATCAGGCAACCAGCAGAGAAGCTGCGAACTGAATTTAGTTTTTAAAATCGGCCATGCGTTAACAGAATCTTGATTCATATTTGATCAGCGCTGCCTAGTTTGACAGTTTGACCGGAATTGATCAACAGCTGTGTTAGAGACTGCCCGGCTCTGATTGGTTGTTTTTCTTCGGGCGCAGTGAAATCTTGCATATGCCAATTAAGAACACTAATCACAGATTATCGGCCTACTGTCGGGATATAGTGACAGTTTGAGCAAATATTAATTTAGCTAAACTTAATACAGTATAACTGGAGCTTTAATGCACAGTATCTATAACTCCCACACCACCACATCTCTAATCAACTGTCTTGAGTTGTTTGTTAATATGGAATCTTTCCCATCCATCCCATACGACCAGGATGCAGCATAAACTAAGCTAATGGCTCTCCAGCTCCAACTCCATACTTAATGTCTCATCTCATCTAACTCACAGAAAAATATAGTGAATAAGATGAACTGTGCAAAATCAGCAGTTGCTACCAGTTCGTCTTTGCTCAGACGATCATGTACTTCAATGTCCACCTACACTCAGTGGAAAGTACATTCCTGTATGTATGTATGTATATATGTATGCATATGCATCAAATGCTCATATTAGTGGTATGGATTTGATACAGGAAAGAGCAGGAAAGTTAACCCTTCCCTATCTGACTTGATAAATACATGGCACATTAAATAGAGAACATATAATATTCTTAATTTTCACTATATTATGTTATTATAAAAGGTTGTCCACCCTTAACGGGACTTTCTTGCTTCTCTCACAACGCGTGACAACCTCTGTGAGGACTGTTGTGTAACCACCTCACTGCTTCTCTCATGCTGTGATAGCAAATTATGCCAGATAATTTCCTTTATAAAGTCTTAAACTAAAGCTAATGGATCCTAATGGTGAAAAATCGCCATTGTCAAGGCAGCCAAAATGAAAGGACCTCTCACCACAGCCTCTGTGCGGGTCGCTCTGTCCTTGTCTTTTCCTGCCTTCCGTTCCTCCAGACGAACTGAGACTCACGCATGCAGAGCACAGATCCTGTATATCCAAGTGCCTCATCTATACCTGCTTTACATAATATGTGCTTATGTTCCAGGATGCCATGTGATTATATGCATGTATTTCATATTCAGTTGTTTTGATCGTCCGAAATCAGCAAATGCAAATGTTTCAATGTTTCCCAGGAAACGGTTTATTTCATGCATTTTTTCCTCTTCATCTTTTGTCCTTTCTGGTTGTATTGATTCTTTGTTGGTTTATGTAATATAATGTTTTGCTGCAATTTTACCCAGGACTATGTGAAACATATAGCATTTTTAATTAGATTCAGAAATGAAGAGATGTGTTTGCATACGCACTCTTTTATCATCAATATTTCTCACTTTCAATGTGACCACAAATAATTATTTTCACTTCCACTGTAATGTGGAGCAGGCGTTGACTAATTGAAGTGTCTTATCGCTCCTGGTGAAGATGATCTCAGCTGGACCGGAGACACACGACAAATAACAAACTCACTCTCTCCCGCTCTTTTATTTAGTCGGTCCGTGCAGCAGCTGCAGGAAACCGGAGGCTCGAGGTTTGGTGTACATGCCGCTTATTTGATATTAATATGAGTGCTCTGCTGTGACACTGTCGCCTCTGCATGTCATGCATCAGAACACATGTATTATACTCATAATCAATTACTATTTCATAGTCCAGCTCGTCTACGTGTGACACAATGAATATAAATACTTAAATCAACCTGTATAAGCTGGATGAAAACTTTATACCTGAAATATCAAGTGTTTGGATTGAATAAATTGGATGGCTTGCCGTGAAAGTTGGTGCGCGCATTCACGTCCACCTCAGGATGAACTACAATAACTTTGTCCAGCCTGTATAACTTTTCACAGCACCTTCATGAGGTCACATTTTAATTTATTTTAGTGATAAAAAATCAGCAAAAATCCCACTTTTCCATCATTCAAAGTCTAACTTTGTGTTCAGTGCTAATTAGCAAATGTTAGCATGCTTACACAGATGGTGAACGTGGTAAACATAATTTCTGCTTCATGTTACTGTGAGTAAATAATAAATCAGTTGAGGTTAATGTAGGAAAATAATGAACAACAGCAATATCTTTGATTGTTGTAACATAAACGGCAGTAGTCCTAAACCTTTGCTGCTCTTCCTTCAAATCATTCCTGTGTTAAATTGACAGTGAAAATGTATTTGCTGCATGTTGCTGGTGTTCATGCGAAACAATTGGATGCTTTTCTCAGTGGGAGATGTGATTTAAGTGTGTATTAATAAAAAAATAAAAAAGTGACCTCTGCTGAGAAAAGGCCACTCGTTTGTCTGGATGGATAAGTTATCGATGCCGGTCTATTGTCATTTTGCTCCAATGGACTTGATGGCACGCTGCTGGAGACCAGAACATTGATGTCTAGTGCTGGCACATCAGTCTTTAGCGTCATGCGTGGACTAATTTATCTTTACACTTACACTTCCCTAACCGCAGAGCCATTTCCATATGTAAAACCGTATATCTTAGGTAAAATCCATGGCGGTTATTGTTCTAAATTACTGTCTCAACTACAATCTAGCAGGCTGCATCCATCCATCACATTAACTGTTACTGACAATCACTGTCAATGCATGCAGCTTACCAGTCCTCCAGAGATTTGTGGCTCTGTGGTTTCGGCTGTCGGAGAGGACCTCGGTCCACATTCACACAGAAGGAACTGGATCATTATGAAGTGAGGTCAGCCTGAAAGTCATGGGAATAACACGTCTCAATTCCCAATGATTTTCTCTTTAATGAAGAGAAATTGTCAAAGTAATTGTCCTGCTTTATTTCCTCTCGGTTACAAAGACTCATCAGTCGACTACAAAGACCAGAAAACTACAGAATTATGTGCTTAGAAACTGGAATACAATAGTGAGGCT